ATAACGAGAAGGAGTGCCTTTTATAAAATGTGCACGCCAAGTATAAAACAAAACTCAAGAGTGGCACAGTTGAGATATTAAGGGAGAGGAACCAACCGTGAGATGGGTAAAAATAGCCCGGCTCTTTGTGAGTTGACTCAAAGTCGGAATCAACCACTGAAACGCATTTTAAAAAATTAGATTCCGCAATCTGCAAAGGGGAACCTGAAAGAAAAAATGTCAATTTTATATGAATACGTGTTGAAGGATTTCCTCGAAATTGGTTGACAAACCCTTACCACATACAAATAGAAAAGGAAGTATGACAAAGTATGACAAATTCCTGTAGTTATTTTCACAAAACCAGTCCCGATGTAAATTATTTCCTCATTCTTTTTCAAAAGTCCCCCAACAACAACTCTGCTTCTGATATTTATCCGGATTGTCTTTCCTCGTACTAGAAACTTGAAACTGGCGACTATGTCCACCGTCAGTGCGCCTTGAAGGAAGATTGTGCTAGATCTGGTGGGATTAATGTTTGTGGCGAAGATAAAACTGGCACTTACATTTGCTGCTGCACCACAGACGGATGCAACGGCGCTATGACAACCAGCATCAGCTATTTGGTCGTGACTGCTCTGCTCGTCCTGACGAAGGCCTTGTATTAACTGTATTGGAGGCAGCTATCAAAGAAAGGACATCCAGTTGCTTTAGTTATTTAGCTATTTCAATAAATAGTTAAATCAAGTGACACGCCGGAAGAATCACCAGGGATTGCATAGCTTCGTGAAATATAGGCAAGGGGAAAAGTTGCTTATTCTTAGCAAACTTGAAACTCCCTGAACTCTTCGATCGCAAGTAAGCCCGTGTCTTTAAATTATAGCAAACAATTACGGCTTAGATCAGGGCCCAATTTCATGGCACTGCTAACTGTAAGCAAAAAATCGGCGCTTACCGTAGCAGAAAATTCTGCGCTTATGGCAAACGTATTTCACTGGTTAGCGAGGAATTTGGGCGTTGCACATGCGTATACGCCCTAACTAAGGATTCTGTGCTTAAACTGTCAGCGCAGAATTTTTCTGCAGAAGTTTGCCTACTGTATGGCATCATGCCGTAATATATTAGCATCATAGTTATAGCATGGCCATTTGCTGCATATGCCTCACAAGTACCGGTGGGTAGTTGGATTGGGTGCTTATTTGTAGAAATCACAATCTCATAAGGTAACAAGAAATGGAACAAAGGTCACGACAAACAACAAGAAACGATCAACAAACTAGTTGTGAGCCAATCTGTAGTATGTCACTCGGTCATTACGACATCACTACGCCATTTAGGTATCTTTCTCATGCCTGTCATTACAACCCTCACAATATATTTACGGGGACAACGGTCACTCATTGAGTCTTTCAACCAAACGTGTACATAAATATTCCCAATCGATTCCATGATTTGATAGTCTTTGGATGTGCCATAGCCCAAAAAGGATATCTTTTAGAGTTCATTTTAGAGTAAAAATGCAATATGTTCGTGCAGCCTTTTTAACGAGAATATTGTTTTAGATGTTTTGCAGTGTTCGAGGCTGGATAGTGATCAGGTGCCGCACTCTTTCCATTGGGCTGGGATAATGGAATAATTCCATTTAGAAACAGATATTTGTAGTTGATTTTGTATTTCTCACTGCATTTAAGGCATCACTACGATAGAGCTGCATTGCTAGAATCATGATGTAGGGCATCAATATGCGCAATAAATTGTGAACTTGTTCCTTTGCGTGTATCTTCCCCAGTTGTTTTAGCTCTCCAGAGAACTATCTTCCTCAAAAAAGTGTCAGTGATGGTGCGCAGTGTGTTCACAATTATTCATGTAAACTAAAGGAGATTACAAGACCTCTTGGTCAACTGGGTTATTACGCTTCAAGTTTTAACAAAGGCTATTTCATACCATGAGCATAAACCTCGGAGTTGCATGGGTGCGGAAGGATACATACCATGAGCATAAGCCCCGGAGTTGGGCGCGGAAGGATACATACCAAGAGCATAAACCCCGGAGTTGGGTGCGCAAGGATACATACCATGATCATAAACCCCGGATTTGGGTGGGGAAGGATACACACCGTGAGCATAAACCCCGGAGTTGGGTGCGCAAGGATACATACTGCGTGCATGAACTCCGGAGTTGTGTGGGGATATTTATTGAACGTCTTACCAAACGAAATGTACTCAGTGTCCTTCAGAAATGAAGAATGTACATGTACAACCCATGCCGTTCTGATGTAAAATTCCGAATTAATTAATGTAATACATATTGGGTGTCTTTAGAATGAAACCAATGAAGGTTGCCATTTCCAAAAAAAGAATTAGTCATATTCAGAAAAACAACTTCATTTCATTTTTTTTTATTTGTTCGTGGTGGTAGTAGGGTGTCTGCAGAATGGCCAGAAATCATGTGTTATGTTCGTTCCGCTAAACGCTACACATGACCGAATCCACATCCCGCGACTTCTTCTAACTATCCCTAATGCTACTTTTAGAGGGGGCTTCACTGATGGAATCATCCGGGCAGTCACTGAAACAGGGCGGGGCCAAACCTACGCTCCCATATGTTTGTACACAGACTCCCCACCACGTGTCTGCTACATGTTTGTGAAGAGTATACCCTCTCCCTTCTCCTTGGCCACTGAGTCACAACTGGCTGGCGCCCATCAGATAGCTTACTGACCTCCAGCCCCCCCCCCAACCTGATTCTAGCCATGTGGAAAAAAATCTTTGACCACGCAAAATGACACACACAGGCTGGCCTGAGGAGGTTTCCATCTCTTTTACTTCAGATGGCAACAGAATTCGATTTATGAGTCCTTTGTAATATAAATATGATTTGGCCATAATTTGGACAACGTGCCGCACAGGTGCACAAACTGAGGGGGATACTCTGTATTACACCTGTACATCATGGACATCGTCCCCTAGGATGATGGCAGCCCCTCCCTTCCAGTTTCCATGGTCGAGCAAGCCCCGCCTCCCCTATCCCAAAATTTCCAGCACGAAAACGTCATTATAGCATACACTGTTCAGGTTCCTCATGTGATTTCCGTGATGCCGTGTCCCTTTTCAAATCGACCATACACAGAACAGTTGAGCGCTAAGTCAATTTTGCTAAATAAAAGTTCCTCTTGGGGGATATTTTTTTTCGCCTCGGTCTTTCACAATGTTTATTTTGGTTCATGGATGCGCCTATTACCAAACATAATTGGTGGAATGGTCGCACATGCATAATGTAACGATCCGTGCCTCCATTGCAGCACCAAGCAGCGCGATAGACGGTCCAGTCATGGCAAGAATGACTTATTATGTTATGTGTGGACATACAAACCGGGACTTTGGACGCGTGGGATCTGCGAGTGGCTTCACAATCGCTGTGATAGTCTTGATGTGATCAACAGGTCTGGGCAACTCCTCGTCATCCATAGTGAATCACGAGAGTAGGCCTAACGATGGCATTTAACAACCAACAGCTTGATGACAAGTGAGATGTGTTTATGTTTACTAAACCCTTCGGCAGGGTACCTGTACGTGCCCGTATAATGACCCATCGATAACCTCCTCCTGTCAATCAGGTCCCGTATAAATTCTGCAAGATCACAGGCTCAACATGTAATTCCGTACATGTATGTTGGTAAAGAAAATGAATTGCATTGAACTAACTTACGGAGAGCTGAATTTCACTCAACGTGCTCTCTAAAACTTCCTCGTAGTGCCCTCACCCTCAATTACCTGTATCTTACTTTGTTAGTGGAATCAATAATAAGAAAACCACTGGAAGCGAAATGCAATCCCGTTTGTGTTGTGTTGTCCGTCACTGTGTCCATGCGCTCTCGTGGCTCTCGTTGGTACCCGCACACAGTTGTGCAAAGGTCACTCGACTCTCTTCTAGCAGATCAAAAATCATGACGCCGTTCACTTAGAGGAAGTAAATGATATCTAATCTATCGAAATTAGCTGATGCATTCCATGTTTATTTCTGTAAAGATAGAGTGGTGATTCTCTCAATCAAAACAGTGTTGAGATTAAATATTCAGTCTAGTTTTGGTGTGGATTTGATCCTTATACCCTCAAGAGAAATATAGATCTTAGTCAATGACGGATCGGTGAGAACGCAACTGGAGCTTTGAATTTTTTGTCGTACGAGTGATAAAAAAGAAGGCTACTTTTAAAGTTATTTCACCGTCTTTCTTCCAAAAGTACAAATCTCTCAATTTCTTCCCACTGAAAGGCTTTTTTAAATTAATTACATTCTTGTCTCCCCCAACCAAAGTGGCCTAGAGCCCGTGTCTTTGGATTTGTCCTTTGTCTCATAGTCTCCTTACAGTTACTCCGACAGTGGACCGATGTTGTATTGACGTCGTTGTAACGTCAGGCGATGACCAAGTTAATGTTGAAAAAACGTCAATATCAGACGTCTTTCTGACGGCATTTTGCACCCGATGGTGATGTCAAGATAACGCATAAGTCACAGGTCGAGAAGCCATTAGATTGACGTCAACAAACTGCCACGAAAACATGTAATTTGTAGGACCTTTTCCTTTTTTTCAAAGTCTAGCAGATGTTGAAATAATGTTCTATCGACGAAAATGTATCTTACCTGCGACTCGGGGAGCTTCCTGAGGGGTCGGGGCTTCTATTTTTTATTGACAAATAAAATTGTTGTCAATTTCTTCATGTAACCAGAGATTACATTTTTACATCCTGATATATATTCCAGGATTATATTTACAATTAATAAACAAAGCCACTTTTGTTTATTAGCCTCCCGAAAGTAATCATGGTGGGTAGATGGAAGACAGAAAAAAATCATTCTCGTGAATATATTACTTTTCCGGGAAATTAATGGCGTTTATATGCAAAACTACAGTCACAAAGCAAAACATTTGTGAAAAAAAAAACCAATTGCTTGAGAAACTGATGAAAAAGGGCAAAATCACTCGGGAAATGTACAAATGCCCCTCTCCTCACTAAGTATCACTGATCACGTATCTTTTGGCAATAAATTTCAAAGCATTAGTTATGTGGATCAATTCTGGATGAACTAATAAACTGTATATTAATTTTGCATTTGCCCTGCCTGACGTGTATTTAACACTGTAAACTTAGTGTATACACCGAAGGCTTGTGCAAAATTACTTGACACGAGTCCATGATTGTCTTTCGCTCTTGACTTGGCAGACCTTATAATGCAGGCCAGGGCAATGTGACTGTCTATGATTTGTAACAGTTAGCAGATTGCGACATAATTTTCACTCAGAAATGTTCAGAACCGTAGAATATAGTTTTCATGCTCTAGATGATGGCCCATGATCATTAGCATAAACGTGGTTAAAACTACAGAGATCAATAGAGTACTCAACTAAGCATTTTCTTGCCTTTACACAAGACTAAGAGAGATAAACGTGTGTATTATAAACTAATAAATTACTCAGCATAAAGTCACAATAACCATTGATTATTTATACAGTCGAACGTTGTGGCAGCATTGTTCTAATGTTACTATAGCAATTTGGTACGGAGCACTGGAAGTGCCATCCCACTTGGTGAGATCCTGATTTTTTTTTTCTGGGGATGACGATATCATTCAGGAAAGATGACGATATCCTGAAATAAGTGATCACTGGTTGAAGACATCGTAGACGTCTAGGACTGAAAAAGCATCACCCTACACGCTACTGGTACTCAGATCTCCGTATCTTGCCATTTGTAGAGAGGGACAATTACAAGTCGTTATCCCATAATGTCGGCATATTGAAGGTATAATCTAATCCATGCTGATTTGTTCCGGGCCTGGGGTCCACGTATTGCAGAATGGCAACCCTAAAAATCGACATCTTTATGCCAAAGGATAGAAACATTTCTAAATTAGATGACGACATTCAAAGATACGTTCCTCTGAATGACGTCAAAGGGATATTATTTACATGAGATATCATCCTGAAGATGGGATGTTGGCTCCTTAGATAATGAATCGGATGATGATGGTATCCTACTCTGTCGTCATCTCAAGACACATTTCTCAGGAAGCTGCCATTTTATTTTCAAGATGTTGTCATCTTATCCCCTAATGTTGATTTCCCATCAATTTGTGACATGGGAGTTTCTAGCTGGAACAAGGTAGGTCGCAATTTTCCTAGCAACGAAGGCTCCTTTGGCCGGACCTGTACTTCGCTGGTTCACTATGAGTTACAGGCAAAACCAGCCGAACCAACCAAACCGTTACCAGCAAAATGAACACCTCCAACCAGCATTGCTCTTTTTGACCGATGAGGGGAGCTTCTGCTCAAGGCAGATTATCGTACGGCCCTCATCACATATGAATTAACCCAGGATGCCCTCATTTTGCCTGTACTATGATGCCATCCTGAGATACAACTTTCCCGGATCTCAACAAGTCAGAAGTCACTTCCGGAGCTCCGTACATTTTATTATGTTAATGTATTGAATTATACCGCCCCACTCACGTAGTTTTTTGTCCAGTCGCACGCTGTAAGTATTTGTTGACGCTGCATTGCAGGCGTTAGCTATTGCGTCTACGGTATCCGTCAACACAGAAGCTACCCTGTCGCTCAGGTAAAATGTTTTGGTTTGTTTGCAAATAATAGTTACAGAAACACTTCTTGTGCAGTTATCTGTCGTGAGCCGACGTCAGCTTGCTGGTCTTCCTTCTTTGGTTGTGAGAATTACAACAAAGCAGAGCATACAGTGTGGAAATGCAATGAATGAAAGCACCGCAAGTGACTCATTGGTCGCACTGCACTGCGCTGCTGATATTCCATTTTCGTGGTCCACATCTCACTTTTACCTGAATTGTCAAATCAGAAATACGGAATTTGTTCTACAGCCCAACAAATGCAAATTAATGAAGTGTACCCGGACGGTCCTAGGTTTGATAAAGTAACTGGGGCGTTGGCAAATGATGAAGGAAATGTGGAAGAACTTACAATTTACACTTAAGTTATCGTTAGGCTCCCAGATTTGTGGCAGGGTCGTAACAACGGCCCACAATTTCATACACACGTTTCACAATGTGCACATCACTGTGCGTTATTCAGCTTACCGGCACACGAGGTACAGTTGCCAGGGTTCTTTATTTACGGAAATGTTGGTTCCATTGCCGGAAATATTTAACAGTACTAACGACAGAAGCTGTAAACTGCACAACATGTGGCCGTGACCATGGAGGAACTAAACTCAGACATTCGAACTGAAGAACTGTTACATTCCATTGATTTAACTCCCGAAATGCTGCAACAATGTCCCATAGCAAAACGGTACCCAAAACATGGTCATTTATGTTCATTTCTGAGCGGGGCTAACTTCACTGCCTGCCAAAAATAAGTTTTTGTATCCCCGTATGTCGTCGGTGTTTTCACGAAGTGAAAAAGGATAATCGATAATGTTTCAATTATAGCAGATATAGCATATGAGTTTGTAGAATTCTTTAACATGATTTCTTCAAAGCTGAAGGGGTATTTTAGTAAAGTGATTCTAAGTAGTACGCACTGGCCTGTCATTACAAAATACATAGCGCACAATTATTACTTGTCAGCTCTAAAGATCATCAGAGACCGTTTGCAATTGTTTTATTTAAAATTAGCTAATTTTGAAATAACCCCAGACGGCAAAAACGATGCTGGATATCATGTTAGTGGTTAAATTCTTCTCTGATATCCTGGATATAAATTAACTGGTACCAGGCTGACTTGAGCCTGCATAAGGAAACACTACGCTTCATATTATGTGACAACTGTCATTGATTAACAGATGGTCATTCCTCCGAAGAACTAAGAAAAACATGTTGTGCGCATGCGTGTACGGAGCCTTGTGCACGTGTTTCACTTTCAAGTTATTCAAAAAGTAGCCTGTTGCTATTGCTAAAAATGTAATAAATAAAAATATGATTTGATTACTGAACCTGCTTGCATATTTTCTTGCATTACAGAAAAAAAATCAAAACTCGTGGCAAATCTGAAAGAAATTGACAGATCTGGGCCAGGAGAGTTTTTGTTTAGAAACTCAGAAGGTAACGTTTGGCATGTTTTTGAGCCATAAAGTGTGTCAAGTTTTACTGTTTTGGTAGGTGCTTAACTACAAGTGCACCACACGCTATTGGGATACAATCTGCCCTTGCCCATCGTAAGCTGGAGGTTTATCCTTACCACTGTGACCCGCAGACCTGCGCTGTCTTGTGTAAATAATATGCCATGACAACGCCGCGCACATGCATTAGTATACAGTACAGTACATGTGCACGTTTAAACTCACGGAAGCGGGCATGCACATAAATGACCAGAGCCAGCAAGTAGCATAATAGGCAGAGTGAGCCTCATTTCCTGACAGATTCTGTGTTGTTGTTGTTGTTGTTTTTTCCTGCGTTACATACGATATCCGGATGTAGCGGCAACGCATACGGTCACCGTCATGGCATTGTGTATCCAGATGTACACGTATTGTACCAGTAGCATTTTTACACGATCAAACACGTACGTTCACAGACACGCATTACCTACGCACACGTGCTGCCAATCTGTAGTTTCCAGACCCGCAACTCAAGTGGCCGCCGTACGGAGTTGAGGTATGGGGCATATTCCAACGCCTCCAGTCGGGAAGGAAACAAGATAAATTAGCCAAATCCCTTCAAACAAATGGCTCCCAATTTTCTCAGCACAACCTGTTTTTCAAAACGTCTGGAAAACCTCTAATATTTGTTTTTATGCCTTTTGGAGAATTGTATCAAAATGACAAATCAACTTCTCTGATCTACACCCGCTCGACAACAAAGACCCCTTTTTGTTTTTTTTTTACTTCGCTCATTACTCCAAGGTTCATTGCATTCCTCGACCATGGACTCTATTTTCAGTGTGTACAGTCACCTTTAATGCTGAGGTGACCAGTCAACATCACCTATTGACTTTTTTTACTAGTAAATTCATTAGTATGCGCGCATGCGCACAAATGGCCTTGGCAGCAAGAAGTGTGGGCGGGCCATTGAAAACGTACAGGGGGGTGGTTTTGATAATTTTCTCTCACGTTCTCTAGCTTTGTTTTTTCCCCTAAAATCTAATTAAATTGTTTTTGATATAAAACCACACGAAAGGAGACTGGCTTACATAAAACAACCTCATGAGCACAGGAAAAATCACAATTATAAAGTCTTTTTACAGAGCACTGAAAATCCCGCTAAGACGAGAAACAAATAGGATTTTTTTTTAATTTGTATATTCTATTAGATTTTCTATTAGTTTTTTTATACTATTGGATATTACTGATGCTGTTTTTTGCGCAAACCATTATGCTGGTATACACTGACCTTATTCTTGCATACATTGTCAGTAGAGTCGGGTGTTCAGCAGCAACGTTTCTTTACCAACCATGAAGTGGACTTTGATGTTCGTCTGTGTCCTTGTTTGCCTTGGTAAGATGATAATCTCAAACAACTATTTCAACAACTACGCCTGTATTAAAAAATTGTTTTAGATTCTCAATTTGTCTACCATTAATGCACTCGTAGCACGTCAAATACCAGATGCAATTCTAGTGTTTTGCTTATGCGTCGTGTTTGATAGTCAATTTATGAGATCCTAAAATGTCATACCTATTTCTGGCATACCCATGGCTGAACAAAGACCAATCACATTTTGCCTAAAATTTCTATGGGCAGCTATAAAGTTTGCAAAAATATGAGCTTTTGGTACTTCTTTTTCATTTAGAAAGTTATTTTCATTTAGTATTAATTACAACGTGTATTAATAGGGATTCTAATAGCTACGTGGAATTCTTGAAATTCCGGAATTTGTTTTTGTACTTGTGCCCTAGAAGGCCAAGCAGCCACTTTTAGGAAAACAAGACCGTGATGCAGCGCCGTCAATTGGTGTCAGAAAAGGGAGAGTCGGGGTGGTAGACGGGAAAGGTGGAATGATATCGTGTCGGCCATGGACATTTGAAAAGTGGGGGGGGGACACCGTTTGACTCTTATAACAGTCAATGTTTATGATTTCAATGTACATATGTAATACGCATCGAGAATGGCACATGTATGGCTTTTAAAATTGTCTTCCGTTTTTGAGTGATGTTGAATGCAGATCAGTCGTTAGAAGTCTTGAAAATTCTTTACTCTCCGCATCAATATTTTTACTCACCGCAACAAAGTGGGTGATGATGCAAAAGCCCACCTACCTCAAAAAGGGGGATACATTACCCCCATCCACCGCGATTTACGCTCATGGTTTAACTTGACAAAGAGCGAATCGGGGAAAACGTTACTGTCATTTCTGTTCTTGTGTCAATTACTGTCCAGTCGATGGAATTGCGGCATTGAATTGCTATCAGTGTACGTCTCTCAACAACAACTGCAACGACCCGTTTGACAAGGTGGCACATAAGAATTTGCTCACCGACTGCCAATCGGGAGAAGTTTGCATGGTAAGAAAATGACACTTATGTTGAAAGAAACCTGTCGAACATTGGCTGAAATTGGGATACTGTTTACCATTACAATTTACCCGCTACAAAGTAACAATTGCAATTTGGGACTTTTTCAAAACGAAAGTCTCTGGTGTAACGTCACTGAAAAGTTTACTCTTGTCCATTTTCCTAAGTAATGGTTCTTTGCCCTTTTCCATGTAAATCATTATCACGGTTCCATCCAAGGTCATTACAACCAGCTAACCTTGTGCTTCCACAAAATCAAATGCACGCAGGCTGGCACACGTGTAGCCTTGAACTTTATATGACCGTTACATCAAACCATACGTATATTTATGGTTAACTTTCAACTTCCCTTTGATAACGAGAAGGAGTGCCTTTATAAAATGTGCACGCCAAGTATAAAAAAAACTCAAAAGTGGCACAGCTGAGGTATTAAGGGAGAGGAACCAACCCTGCAACCGTGACATGGGTCAAAATAGTCCGGTTCTTTGAGGATTGAATCAACAACTAAAACACACTGTTCAAAATTCGATTCTGCAGTTGAGAAAGGGAAACCTGAAAGGAAAACCGTCAATTTTATTTGAATACATGTTGAAGGAATTTCTGCAAAATTGCTACATACAAATAGACAAGGAAGAGGCCCTAAGTGTGAAATTCCTGTAGTTATTTTCACAAAACCAGTCCCGATGTAAATTGATTCCTCGGTCTTTTTCAAAAGTCCCCCAACAACAATTTTGCTACTGATATTTATTCGGATTGTCTTTCCTCGTACTAGAAAACTAAATATGGCGACTTCGTCAACCGTCTGTGCACTTTGAAGCCCGCTTGTACTGTATCTGGTGGGATTAATGTTTGCGGCGACGATACAGTTGGCAATTACATTTGCTGCTGCACCACAGACGGATGCAACGGCGCTACGACAACCAGCATCAGCTATTTGGTCGTGACTGCTCTGCTCGTCCTGACAAAGGCCTTGCATTAACTGTCTTGGAGGCAGTTATGAAAGGAACACGATAAGGACATCCAGTTGCTTTTGTTATTTAGCTATTTCAATAAATAGTTAAAATCAAGTGACACACCAGAAGAATCATCATGGATTGCACGGCTTCGTGAAATATAGGCAAGGGGTAAAGTTGCTTATCCTTAGCAAACTTGAAACTCCCCGAACTCTTCGATCGCAAGTAAGCCCGTGTCTTTAAATTATAGCAAACAATTACAGCTTAGATTAGGGCCGAATTTCATGGCACTGCTAACTGCAAGCAAAAAATCGGCGCTTACTGGAGCAGAAAATTCTGCACTTACGGCGAACGTATTTCACTGGTTAGCGAGGAATTTTGGCTTGTGTGCATGCGTATACGCTGTAACTAAGGATTTAGTGCTTTAACGGTTAACGCAGAATTTTTCAGCAGAAGTTTGCCCACGGTATTGCATCATGCCGTAATATATTAACGTCACAGTTATAGCACGACTATTTTTCTGCACACATGGGTGCTTATTTGTAGAAATCACAAACTTATAAGGTAACAAGAAATGGAACAAAGGTCACGACAAACAACAAGAAACGATCAACAAACTAGTTGTGAGCCAATCTGCAGTATGTCACTCGGTCATTACGACATCACTACGCCATTTAGGTATCTTTCTCATGCCTGTCATTACAACCCTCACAATATATTTACAGGGACAACTGTCACTCATTGAGTCTTTCAACCAAACGTGTACATAAATATTCCCGATTGACTCCATGATTTGATAATCTAGATAGTCTAGATGACTTAATTCAATTCCCTTGACTTCTTCAAACTATCCCTGATGCTACTTTTAGAGGGGGTTTCACTGATGGAGTCATCTGAGCAGTCACTGAAACAGGGCGGGGCCAAACCTACGCTCCCATATGTTTGTACACAGACTCCCTACTGCCACGTGTCTGCTACATGTTTATGAAGAAAATACCCTCTCCCCTCTCCTAGGCCACTGAGTCACTACTTCTTATAATTTTCAGCGTGTTAGGAGCCTTCTGCCTGGCGCTCAGCAGGTAGTTTACTGATCTCCAGCGCCCCAACCTGATTCTGGCCATGTGGAAAGAAATTCTGTGATCACGCAAAATGACACACAGGCTGGCCTGAGAAGGTTTCCATCTCTTTTACTCAGAAAAATGGCACGGGAATTTGATTTATGAGTCATTTGTAATATAAATATGATTTGGCCATAATTTGGACATTGTACCGCACAGGTGCACAAACTGAGTTACCCCCCCCGCCACTAAGGGGATACTCTGTAATACACCTGTACATTTGTATCATGAACATTGTCCCCTAGGATGATGGCAGCCCCCCTCCAATTTCCACAGTCGGGCAAGCCCCCCTATCCCAAAATTTCCAGCACGAGAACGTCATTATTGCATACACTGTTCTGGTTCCTCATGTGATTCCCGTGATACCGTGCCCCTTTTCAAATCGACCATACACAGAACAGTTGAGCGCTAAGTCAATTTTGCTAAATAACAGTTCCTCTCGGGGGATTTTTTTTCGTCTCGGTCTTTCACAATGTTTATTTTGGTTCTTTGATGCGCCAAATACCAACCATAATTGGTGGAATGGTTGTACAGGCATAATGTAACGATCCGTGCCTCCATTGCAGCACCAAGCAACGCGATAGACGGTCCAGTCATGCTCGCCAAGGCAAGAATGACTCACTAAGTAAAATAATTAGAGTACATGTGCCGTTAGGTGAGGACATACAAACCGGGACTTTGGACGCGTGGGATCTGGGAGTGGCTTCACAATCGCTGTGGTAGTCTTCATGTGATCAACTGGTCTGGGCGACTCCTCGTCATCCATAGTGAATCACGAGAGTAACAATGGAACTTTACAACCAGCAGCTTGATGACAAGTGAGATGAGTTTATGTTTACTAAACCCTTCGGCAGGGTACCTGTACGTGCCCGTATAATGACCCATTAATAACCTCCTCCTGTCAATCAGGTCCCGTTAAAATTCTCCAAGATCAAAGGCTCAACATGTAATTTCGCACATGTGTGTTTGTAAAGAAAATACGGTCGACTAAACCGAAAACTTGAAAATATCGAAGATATATACGTGACAGGATGACATTTCAAAACATGGAGTGTGAATGTCAATTACCTAGGCAGTGTCCATCGAATGTATAAACAGAATAAAATGCAATGTAAAATGTAGATTTAAAGTTTTAGCCGCCATGGATCTTTGTTAGACACAAGTGTTCATTTTGTGTGTAGCGAAGCGACCCTAACACGTGCATTTCGTAGTCGTTTGCCAGGCAGCGAAGTGCAGCCCCCATTGCTAGGGAAATTTCCCCCTCTCTTAGTCCTGTTTGGTGCATAAATACGGGGGACGCATGGGATGGGGATCGTGCATTGTGGTAAACGTCCCCAACCCACTGCACTCATGCGTTACAGTTACCACCCCCCCAAAAAACATTCCCAACAAACGTTGTTTTCTTTTAATCGATGCGGAGGTGGTTCTGCTCAAAATGGCTAGTGGTACTCAGACTTGTCGAATTCGGGCGGCCCGTTCTTGACGCGGGTTTCCAGTTCTCGAGCTCGTACAGCTCGTGAGATTTGATTTTTGAAAAGCCGCAAAAACTATCGAGAAGGCTAAGTACAAAGCTGGCGACGATGCACAGTTTTGCAAAATTAACATTAATAATTTTCCATGACAGAAATGATTTTTTAATGGAAAAGAAGTTGGTCCAGTTATCCGAACATGAACTCTCGTAGAATGTACAAGGACGCCGCATATTGCAAAGTGCTCTATTAATAACTAGTCGCGATAACCGGTCGTACGTTTGAGCGGCCGACTCACGGACAACAAATCCAGCTGTTCGTGAGCCTACGAGAACAAGCCGCCCGAACTCAGCCAGACGCTGTTTGTAATGATTACTGATTCAGTAAAACTGAAACTTTTGGTATCATTACAAATATTGGTCAAGCAATAAAAAGCTTGCTGTATGACAGAAACAATGGGGCGGCAAATATAACTTAACACTGTTATATTTTATTTTCAGGAGCTACGTTAATGGAAGATAGCTGTATACATATATTGAATGTGGACATAACAGACTGGAAAATACGCCCTCATCGTCCACTTTTGAGACTAACAAAATACCAGATGAAACTCTGCCAGGAGCATTGTAAAACGGACGCCAATTGGCCTCGGACTGGACCAAGAGAGGGCGCTACTTCTGTTAGTACTGAGTGCCCCTTGCTGGTTTACGAAAGACTAGGAAGTGCAAGCGTTGCTCTCACATCACTACCAATAAAATGAATACTCCTGGCCAACCCGACTTTTTAGACCAATAAGGGGGTGCTTCTTCGAGGCGAGTTATGGAGTCGGTGGTGTCTATTTCATAACCGTTTCGACTTAAAACACCTTTTGGGGGAAATAAACGCGTTTCGGTTTTTCCTGAAGTGTTCCCATTGGGAAAACATATTTTTGTGTCTTGTTATGAACAGGCAAATGTGTCATTTTGTCGACACGTAACAAAATACACAACGTGTTTAGCTTTGGATTATTAACACTGCAACACGTTCAAAAAGTGTTATCAGGAAGACGCATAAAAAACATTAAACCATTAACACTTGTTTAACACTAACGAGTGTACCTTTGACAGCAATATTGGTATTTATACACAGTTGTGCATGGATCAATCGCCTCTCTTCTAGACGATCAATGTTCAACTAATATTAAACTCGTTTAACGCTGCACACGTAGAGGAAGCCGATGCTATCTACTCGCAGTAAAAGAAAACAATAGAATCATTATCAAATATCAGAATCAAATATTGCCACAGCATGTGACAATGACACGGCCCAGAGTACACCCCAGAAAAATCCCCTACTTTTTCCCTCTTAATTTTTTTAATACGTAACCTCCTCATTCATTCCACGTTTATTTATGTTAGTAACGACGGAGAGGTTATTCTTTTGTGTTGTACCTTGAAGGCTGCTTCCCTACAAAATAAAGTTAACACGGTCCGTTGAAGTTGTAATTATTATTGTTTACCAGAACTGTTGCAGCTACAGTAGAAGGATTGAGGGTTTCAGTAAGCCGTGGATAGTTTGGTCATAAATTACGATGCAGTGTTGGCTGAGGAGCGTCATTGTTCTTGCTTGCCTTGGTGAGTCCATCTCTTTTATTTCAAGTTACATACTAACGTCGACGATTGATATACTGATATGTATGCAAAATGCTGTATAAATCCAATCTAACAATGAAATGAAAACAGGGCGATTTTATAGAAAAGTTATTTCACCATGTTCCTTCCAGAAGCATGAAAGGAAATCTCAATAAAATTACCTAAAGTAAAAAAAAATTTAAGGAAAATACACTTTCGTCCCCACTAGACAAAAGTGGCCAAAAACATTTTGATCCTGATTTTTTCTTGGTTCAAGGCTAAGGAACCGAGATCAGTCGTCATAAACTATTAGTGTGTTAGAGTAACCTGACGATACTCTGGCAGTATAGGTCAAGTGGCTGCCATTGCTAATAAGTCACGATGATATTCTGTAAAATTTCGTTCTGAGTCTGTGGGGAGGGATTGAGTCAGTTACTCAACTGGTGAAAGGACTAGGGAAATGGCAATATATAGCAGTATAATGTACATGACATATTTCTGAAGCTATTAAGTCCACAAAATAGAGCAGAACTACCCCTTCCTCTTTGGCGTTTTAAACTTCATGAAGGAAGCCCCATTTCTGTGGCATTTTTCCCCATTCGCCACGCAAGTGCAAGCAGCGTGAAAGATTCAGCCCCTAAATTAAGAAAGGCATAAAACCGTATGCGAAGTTTTGTCCCCTGAAAAAAGAAAGACCCCCCCACAAACACATATACACACACTTATACCTTACATACCTAGTGTGGACATTCCTTTCTTTTCGTGCAGTTCAGAAAGCTCAGTGCAAATACTCGTTTTTGTGAACTGGGAAAACGATTTTCAGCTGACTTTTTGTACAAAGTTTCCTTGACTATCCCTCTTCCTTTTACAACGAATAACCCCTACCCCAAAATGCCTCTAATCTTCTTTTCAGAGAAGGGGAAACGTCCTGTGGACATGTCTAAGTCCACTTAACGTATTCCTTTCCTGCATCTTGTGTACATCTTATGTTCACAAGTCCACACTAAGTATGTAAGGTTAGCGCAAACTTATCTCGATCCATTCTGGGTATTCATCCAAACTGCTTATTCCATGATTCTCTAGCGTGTGCTAATGTCTATCTATGTCCCAGTATAATTTCGTCCTTTGTGTCTTCTTACATACTAGAAACAAAAAGACGGCTTTGTGGTGACTCGCTTGTGCGCTTCGAAGGAGGACTGTGACCTCTTAGCTGGCGGAACAGACGACTGCTCAGAAGAAAATGAGGAACACAAATTCTGTTGTTGCTCAGGGGATGGCTGTAACAGCGCCACCACTCGTCAAGTTAACTTCATGTTATCCACAATTACGATTCTCCTTAAAAATACACTGTTTTAAGAACGCCAAGACTGACCAACATTAACTTGGCTACTTGTGATAGAATCTGCAAACTTGAAGAAGTGGTCTGCTCTCTCTAGACTCGTCAGCATTTTTTATAGCGCATTGTAAGTACACAGTTGAAATTACTGATTGATGCAGTTTTACATTGAATTGCCCAACTCTTCCGAGTAAAGAAGAAAAATGTAGATTAGAATAAAAAATGACTCGACAAAAAACAGAAATTGGAGTTGTCATCATGATTAATGTTTCATGTTTGGTGAGCACCAGAGATTTTCATTTTCAGTGAATCACTTCATTAATTAATTTCATTTACATTTTGAATGTGTCTAGTGCATTGTATACACACACTTTTCATATAGTACTTCATTCTTTTTCGTCAGTTTTACATATCTATATTTATATTTTAATTTTAGACGTAGGGCGTTCCTCTTTCCCTGTGATAATTTTTTATATGCACCTTCATGTCATTTACACGGCAGTTTTAATTTCCTGTGTTATAATTATACATTGTTTTAATAGCTGTAAGTATTTTTTTACAATTCATATAAAACTTTACTGAAATGATTAGTCGTTTAGAAACGTACCTGTCAATATTTCAAAGATTACATTACAAATAAATGTATTCTAGAAACTAGACTGTTTCCTAAGGCGACCAAGGGAATTTTGAAGATAAGCATGCAATTCCAAGTTCGTAAACATGGTCTTCATTTGACGAGACAGTTCGTAAGTTCTTAATTAGTCGTACACCAAGCTTGTTTGTTGGTGTCGTAAAAGCCTCCAACTCTCACACAGCTAACTTAACACCCCTAGTTGTACAATCACGTGAGAAAAAGTTCCACAGTTTCATAAAGATTCTTTCAACTAAACCATTCCAAATTCTAATTTATACTGTTAGTTACGGTTGTGTATCTGTCTAATGATTTTAGGCTTATCGAAGGTGTGTTGGCAGTTTGTACATTACCTGTTTATACCAGGCAAGATATAAGGGGTACCCCCCTTACCTGTCAAATACCTATACACACTCTAAACTATTGCTATCAAACACATCCCCCTAGACGTCTGTAAAGATTTTCCCGAGATTCCGATCAAACAATAATCAACACAAAGGCCGGGAGGGGGGTTCTCTCCGTCCCATATCTTGCTTCAAATTTACCTGCTAGTTTAGACTCTTCAAAAAGCAGTAAAGTATTTTAAGATGATTTGACTGTCGGGTTTTGAGATCTTGCAAATCACATACACTGCTGAAAAGAGATAACATATGACTTGATAATCCGATGGAAGCAATCATTTTGTACGAGATCACTTTTTTCACTTTGTTGCATAAGTGCTTCCTATTTACCTTTATTTTGTAATAAAATTTCATTTCAAAAGTCACGCATCCAACGAATTAATCGGAGGCCATTTTCTGTTAAAAACTGCCGCTATTGTTGTTATTAACAACTCGCACACAAGTGGATAATGGCGGATATGTTGTGTACGGTGTAATTCTGTAACCATTATTTGACGTCCTTAATGCTGTGGAACAACGCTCGTGCACAGGTGGTACGCGCGCGTGACACGCCTCTTCGACCAATAGGGTGCCGTGGTTTGCCAAAAGCACGCGCGTCAAGCCGAGGAATTTGCGTGTAGGTGCACTGTTGCAGCAGTTATAGCGTCTCATGTGATTGTTCTATGCAGTTTGTAAATAACTTTATCACACGCGCACTCATCATGGATTATAAGCTCCCATTGGATGAACACGTACTCAAAGTTGTCAAGTTGTGCGTTAACTTCGTATTTCATGGTTCCATGTAACTCTACTATTTCACTGGACGAGGTTACTGAAGTAACTTCAATTTTTAGTACAAAATAGCTTCCTGAGGGGGATAAGGAAATAAAATGTCACATTCCTTCAGCTGAGTGCTGAGAATACTTAGTGTCTCTTCTATTTTTAAGGCATAATTTGCAGGCCATGTAAGATGGCAGGCAAGATTGAACAACAGGGTCAAAGATCGAACATGATAAACCCGAAGTATAGTCCTTCGCCGAAAATCACCTCTCTTGGACAAACTTTGTTGAGGCGACGGCTACTTTGTCATGCATTACTTCATGAACCATTAAAAACTCGTGCAGCTGGCTGATTGTATGCTTCAACTCGCATATTGATAATTGGGTCGATAAGGTTATCAGAAAGAACACATCATATTTACGCTTTATTTGAAATTTGTGGGAATCCCCAGCACATAAAAGGAATTCGGTTTACATAGGCCTACGCGGTTGATGTTCTATTGTTGACACAGTTGATGTCCTATTGTGCTACCAATATGGCAAGGTTTTGGAAAATCCCTCAGATGTTCGTTATAGTGCAGGGAATGGTATTCTATGGGATGGAGTGCAAAAAGAAATCGAATAATGAGAGTGCATGTTGACAAAATACAATTCTTGTCATCTTTGTTAATTTCCAAATCAAGTGCTATGCACAGTGGTAGTAGGGTTTTGACGACCCAGATCGATCGACCGACCGATCGACCAGTCACTCATCAGTGTTCATCAACACCTTTGAATTAAGATCCGTAATAAAGCTAGCCATATTTTTAAAAACTACCGCCACATGTTCATAAGAATTCCACTTCTTCAACAATAGCTTTGTTAAATTTCGAAAGCGAATTTTATTAACTTTTATTGCCATTGCAAACCCCTGAATATCAAGCTGTATTCGGAATAAATGTTACTTTTTCTGAGTAGCCGAGGACAATGAACTAAGTACATCATGAAATCATCCAAGGAGTCAGTTCAGTCTTTCAAAAAAAGTTGAAGTCATTGGAGAACAAAACAAGCGCGTGACACGGCTTATGGCCGCGCTGATGGGCACACATCGCATGCTCGTATCGCTGTTCCCGAACGACGTAGGACGCGATTAACTGTTGTCTAGTAATACCCACTTTGGCTCACGGTCAGTTCTAATACGGTTCAGTACAATTCTGTCCCCGTGTTTCCTGATAAGATACTGTCCATTCTATTTTTCCTCAACTCTACAATAGATGTGGAAAAAATCAACAAGAAAAAGCTGCCGTGACGTCAAAACGTGGCCGACTATCAATCAAAATGCACTTTGATCCAGACGAAGCCAAAATGAAACCCCTTTGCGGCAACTGTTTCCCGGCTTTTTCAAGCTTGAATTGAAATTAACTCTTTTATGATAACATTATTGTATAAAATACTGCGAAATCTTTGAAGCGAAGTTAATAATAAGCCGTTTGCGAGTTACATTTGAATAAAATCTGGTACGCTGAGTTCTTTAAATTCACGTGAACATAACAATTTGAATTTTTCACACTAAAGCCACCGTTGCTATACTTCTTGATTCGGGGCAAGCTTTTCCTTAGTTACATAAGAGACACCTTGCAACCACACTCAATGGAAAAGAAGGGCACAAAGGGGCAGCCCATTCCAGAGATGGTGGTCGCTATGCAAAAGCTTGCCCCGAATCACGAGGTATAGAAACAGTGTCTTTAGTCTGGGGAATTCAAATTGTCATGTCTATGTGCAATCAGATAACTCAGAGTGCCAGGTTTTATTCAAAGTTAACTTGCAAATGGCTTATTAAAACTATAAGGGGTATTTTTGTGTTGAAGATAGGTGCTATAAAATTTCGCTATTGAAACACACTCCAAAATTGTCAAACATGTTTTCTTAATTTCAGGCGTTAAGCAATATTAAACTCATAGTATAGTTTGGAACCTGACGTGATTTCATCGACTCCTCTAATTGCGTTTTCCGAAAGAACTGAAAAGAAGCCTGACTCTGAGCTGTTAATGGTTGACTCAGTATTCGGTTAACAGAGCAGTCTCGGTCTAAGTCATAACGACAGGTATACCTAAACAAACCAGCCAGTGACCACCAACATGGCGACAATGGTAACGAGGTTGACCTCATTAGCGATTGCAGCGTTACACAGAGAAGTAGTGCAGCAACAACCGACTGCTCTTTGATTACCATAATACTCTTTGATGCAATCATCGACTATGCCGCCCTTTTCACAAGTGCCTCTTGAGGCGCATCCCCTGGTTACGCCCTGGTCCAGTTGACCTGGCCCAACAACTGAAATTTTCTGAGAGGAAAAGAAAGGAACAAATCATTCTAATAGAAGACTTGAGTCGCCTAAAGCCCAATAACCAACGGTGTTCGCAAAGCCCAAGGATATCTTCATGATTTTAGCCTGGCGATTACCCAAATCATTCAATAAACATCCCATCACTTACCGCACATATGTATCCATAACTGCACTCGTAAGCAATGATACCAGGGGCCGACGGATCAAAAGGGTCGGCACACTGACCAGTGCCGCTGCAGACATAACAGGTAACAGCATGGCTCAAACCTGTTTTTAGTTCAAGAGGAAAAACATGTGGACTGCAGGCTGGTTCGAAATCAGCCCAAAAGCGAACACAAAAACAACATTGAGAAGTCAGAATAAACAGACATTTCAACCTATGCGGATTTTGCTGCAAAATGTTTTGTCACGCCAAGCTTGTTTTAGGTTCACCTGAAGTATGAGAAGACATTTAGTTAGGAAACATTTCTTCCGTTTTCAACTTTAAATTGGTTAACTTCCATTTCTGATATCAGAGTCAATCCTCCAATGGTTTATTTCCCACATGTGGTTGTCTATTTTTTCACAAATCCTAACGGATTAATATTAAAAACCTCTCCTCTCAAATTGGTCATTGTTTTTCGTCTCTTCTAACTCTGCCACCATACAATACAGCCTCTCAAAGGTCGGATGCAAGCAGGCAAAAGCAAAATATTACCATTGCTTCTGCTTAATTGCCATGGTGGAAAAGGTGAAAAACTGTAATGCTAGCTGAAAACAGGAGTGAACTAACTGCAATCCCCAACATGAAAAAGACTCCGTCTTAAAGGCTCGTCCTCGTACAGCCTAGAACTATATAAGTTGCATCACGCACACTTAATCTCCACGTTGAATGCTGTACATGTTGTTCATGTTGTTTTGGAATCATCGTTGATGGTTTGAGACACTTACCAATGCAAGTCAGGAAGACGACGATACCAATAATTTTCTTCATGGTTCAGGGAACCTCACTACAGCTGGGCTTGAAGAAAATTCAGGAATGTTCGTTAGCATCTTGGTGAGACCCTCGTGAGTGAAAACGTTTAGGCTTCTTGACGTTTGAAAAAAACGTTATCTGTTTCGTGTTTTGTTTGCCCGTGTTCTTATGGCGACGTTATTTAAATTCCTAAGAATGCTGCAGATCGCCCATATCTGGAACCCTTACACGAGTGTCCGTGGTGGAGTATCCCATGGTCTTAATTTTTCTGTTGGTGGACGAGTAAACTACTAGTTGAATGTTTCTAGTTACAGAAGTATTTTTGCAAACATAAATAAGGAACCAAAACTGCCCCGGAACATGGAAAAGATTTCTACCATTATTTAAATAAATCTTAGCGGATTCTGCATAGTGATGTTGTTTTAGTAACAAACGTGGGAGGAAACTTACCATTGGAGGGAAGGCCACTCGGAACGACCCGTTAAAGGCTCGACCAGAATTCTGACTATTTAGTGAAGGCTGAGCTCTGTTCAATTTTATAGCAAATAGTCCCGAAAGGCAAATCTGCGTATTCACTTGTTTATGATTTACTATTAGCCACGCTCAGTACCTTTGGAATCATTTAAGAGATATGTTACTCGAAGTGTTTACTTCAACAGCAACTGTTTACGCATATAGGCATAATGACTCGTTTTAGCCTGTATGTGCTTGGTAATGATATAATTTGCATACGTAGACGCCCCTTGTCTGATGCACTATAATAATGGAGGGTTAACTAAAGTTTTGACAAACTTAGTGGGGAGGGGAATTAAAGCAAATGATAATTTATTTCGAAAAGGAAATCAAAATGTGTTGAAGTCAAAAACTTCCTTTTGATTAGAGAAAATTGCGCCCATTCAGTACTTATACATCATAGTTATGGTTCCTGCCGGGGGCGAGCTTGGCGTCCACCAACGCCCATTTTGTCATAAGTGGAGGCTTTTGTTTGGGGGGGAGGTAGAATATACTTTTTAATATTGTTGCATTCTCAACAGGTTTTAATAGCTTGGAATACAGAAATCCGCGCTGCTAAATATTCCCTGCTTTTATGTTTGGGTACAACTTCATGTAGCAAGCCCCTTGGAAATGTTAGATTCCACGAATCGCGCGCTTTATCCTCACTTCAAGCAAACTTTTTCGGAGACCAGGGAATGTCGCTAACACCAGTAAAAGTCTGACTTTCTGGGTCGTGTGTTCTTCATCCACCCAAGGTTGCTGGGGCTGTCGGGTGGCCGAAACTCGAAGTTTTCATGCTGTTCTTGAAAACGTACCTCAATATCCCATGAACGGATCGAAGGGGAGAGGGCAAAGGTCGTCATCAGCCATAAAATTATATGCAATCTTTCATGAATTTGCCTTCCTTTCAAACGCGTGTAACACTAACCCACACAAATAAAAGTTGTTTAAAAACACCATACTTTTGCCCCTTCCAGAAACCTAGTTCTAGATCCGCCCTTGGTTCTATTTCACTTTCATTCCAAGTTTTGTTTTGCCTTCGATGTCGACATATCAAGAGTTCTCGTTGTTCTCCCGAAAACGTGCACATTTCCGTTTTAATTTTTAGTGTTCCAAAGTGATGCCAAATATTTGCCTACAAATATTCGTCCAATAAAGACTCATTGAACGGTTGGTTCAATCTCTGCTTGGTCCGTTTTGTTGGAAGCATCATGATCATGCGTGCTCTTCTCAGAAACCGTTGAACTATAACTTCCACGACAGGCCGGGGCTGATGCTAAACCTCCATGGATTGTGGCGAGCTGGGTGGGGTGGCGGTAGACTGAACGCGGGCGGATCCACGAGGGCCAGTAGGGTCCATGCACCTCATACAAACGGCCCATTTTGTAAAATGAAAGCCGAACTATTTTGAATTATTTCATTGCCCTTTCTTCTAAAAATCCACAACAAGCCCCGACTGTAGCCCCAATCCATCAGAATGCCAAGTTTTGTGGTGCCCCATAATATTGCTATAGTGGGTCCAGCCCTGTTGGTGTCACTCAGGGGGTGATTCGTCCACCAGTGAAGAAGGATATGGAGGGTAGTCGCTACATTGGCACTCAAATGAATGAGTCTTGAGCCCTGGCGTCTGTTGATCGGTGTTGTCTTATGATTTATTCGTCCCTCAACTCAAGTTATCAAGAGGAAAACCCCGAAGAAACCAATAAAAAGAACTCTTGGCCACTCATGATGGAAATATGTATTATTTCTAGCCATGAAAGAGCAAAGGAGATCGACAGGAGTCACTTATGTTAACGCCAACATATCTTGTGAAAAATGTTGATCAAAGTCAGTGAGCACGGCGGCATGGTCCAGCGTAACAAAAAGAAAAGCTTTCGTGCTTCTGCACGTACGCCACAAGAATCTATGACGTCAGAGCCATGACATCACCTTGAATATATTATGTTAATAAAGTACAAGTAATTTTAGGTGAGTCCCCAGATCTGCTAGTGCTAAAGAGATATTGATCGGTCCTCTGATTTCTGGAATTTGGCCGACAGTCATTCTAATTTATCCAGCTCAATTTAACATTGCCTCGTAAAAATTTATAAGTGATCGAATCATACGAAATGAGATAGCACCCAATAGACAATACTGAGAGGGTGATTTTTGATGTCACAAAATCTACACATTTCTTTGTTGAGCAATGTTTATACATTATCAACCACAACCAGGAAAACTCAACAGGTGGGTCATTGATTACTGTCTCATTTGTTACGAATCGATCAAATTTTCAGACTTCTGTTTGACAAAAATGGCAATCCCTTATCAATACAGACATAGTCACTCTCCGCATAATTTTATACCCCATCCATTACTTGGTTTATTACAAATACAATTCCGCAAAGGTATTAAATCTACATTAAATCATGAAAAAATGCATTTGATGTTTTGAAAAGTTTTAATTTCTTATTCAATGAGAACACCATCTACACAAACAAAATATGGAGAAACTATACGCCTCTCATTGCTTGGAAAAAATTACAAGTTCACAAAAAAGTGGTCCTTAACTTTGAGTTGTATAATTAAGGTTGGGAGAGTTTTGGGCAACGAGTACTCTCTACGATATGTAACAAACGGGAGTCGCTAGACCATTTTGAAAGGTGGTGTTATTAAAATTGCCAACAAACCCTCGGAGAAATTTCAGAGTGTATTTTTCGTCTGATTTCCAGCCCCCCCTGTTCTTTTCCTTGTCCATGTTTTGTCACGTCAAGTTTGTTTTACATTCACCTGAAGTATGAGAAGACATTTAGTTGGGAAACTTTCCTTCTGTTTGCAATTTAAATGGGATAACTTCCATTTCTGATATCAGAGTTAATCCTCCAATGGTTTATTTCCCACCTGTGGTTGTCTATTTTTTCATAAATCCTAACGGATTAATATTAAAAATCCTCCTCTCAAATTGGTCATTGTTTTTCGTCTCTTCTAACTCTGCTACCGTACAATACTACCTCCCAAATGTCGGATACAAGAAGGCAAGAACAAAATACGAGAATGAACCACGATTTGACAATACCGGCAGATGGGGGCGACACCCCTTACAAACACACACCCCTGGGCTCACGCCCGTGAACTAATGACAAAGGTCATCATGGACTTTTGAAACTTATCTGTTTTGCCATTTTTTAAATATAAGTTAAAACTGGGTACATGTTTGAGCGAGATTCATGATGTTCTAGGTTAATCGTTCCTGTGAATCACCTCTTTCGGTTAGGATTTGCTATAGCAGAAAAACAACTAAGCCAAGAATTTTTTTTCGTTAACAGTGTCAATTGTGGAACATTATCCTTATTGTTGAATTGTGGCCAATGATTTTTAAGAACTTTCAAACACTGAAAACAAATGATATTGATCCTTATAGCTTTTGGGTACTTAATAGAATAGCTTGAAATTATTTAAAGAAATATTTTGAATACTCTCTTCATAACAGAGCCCACAACTGCTCGCAAAGTTCCTCATCTCCCTTAAAAGAATGACAGCTAAGTTCCTCTTAAAGTGAGAATTATCATTATTCAGCTCAGATGAAAGGCCCCTACCACAATCAGACACAAACGTTGCTCAAAAAAGGGTGAAAAAATCGAAAAAAGCAAGTCGCCTATAACGCTCCAGAGTTGCTTTCGTTGTTTTTCAGTGCGCAATTTCAGAAAAACTGTTACTATCCCATGTAACGACTACTGATTACTGTAACTGTGTCAACTGCGTAGGCAGCAATGCAATAAAGATATACATTGGACATATCAGTTATGACTTCAAAGGATTCTTTGCTTACTCAGCTGGCACCCAACTTCAGTACTGATGGTGTAAACATAGAATGTTGATTGATTTTAAGCACAAATTTCCGTGGTAGGGACAGCCATAAATGTGGGTCCAGGTTAATTGGTGGAAACGTCGGCGTTCAGCCACTGTTGTCATCAGTCTCGGTAGTCCTCAAGAAGCTGCGTAAAGATAGATTCAGAAATGATTTGAAGTCCCAGACTATTGAAATCAAACCACATAAGGGACGATGAAAACAGGACTTGCATGAAAAATTTTACTTCTTCTCTACACATAGTTTGAAAGTGTTTTATGTGGTCGAAGTTTAAGGAAACGTTTGGACACCACCAAATTCATTTCCATTCAGGAAGACCAGAGATCTTGGAACAAAGTGACAGTCAAGTTGAAGCTGAAGTTCCCATGCAGGGATATAAGCTATAGATTTAGCATATGACAGTCGTTTTCACAGCATTGTGGGTGTATTCACTGGGAGGTCAGGAAAAAGGAAGTAAATTGGTTGACCAAGAATAAACCTGACATTTGGCACGTCTCCACGCTGTACAACTGCAGAAGCTTCTAACGTCCAACAAATGTGGTTCGGAAAATATTTTTCTGCCCAACAGACAAAGAAAACAACTACTCTGAAATCTCAAGAATTAAGACAAACCTTGATGGAAATTCTGCCGGGAGCCATTTAAGAAGTAGCTAGTCTACAGCCTCGTGCCTTAGGTGGAAATCTGCGACAACCAGTGATCCACACCCGGCTTCAAAGGATAATCTTGGAGCTGAAATCCCCAACTGTGCATTCAGAAAATATATATTGGAGATCAGCAAGACATCCGGGATAAGTAAATTCACCTGCATTGAAGACTGAAGACCTGGGGCTTCAGTATTCCGAGTTGTAATTTTCAGATAACAATATTTTGCAATCAGTAATTTTTATAAACTTACCTTCAGAGTTCACATGGAAAGCAAGTCAAGTGTTGTCAGCCAGATCTTCCTACTTCTAATCACTTGTCGTCATCCAAGACAGGTCCATCTTGAAACGACAAGCTGCCCCTCTCCAAACAAGACATAGAGTTGGCAAGGCCTTCCTTGTCTTGTTGACTAGTTTAGCTGTTGAGATGAAAAAAAAACACTTGGCCTTTCTGGCCCGATTAGTATTTAGTATTTGCAATTTACTATCAACGTCCAAGCACAACTTACAGATAGCGATGCAGTCTTTTCTTGTTCTCCAGCTGTAGAGGGGAAAAGAAAAACTGAGGCCTTGGCTGGCCTGGTAAGTACATATTTTTGATATTTACCAACAGAACATCGCTTCGTGGCAAGGTTAAGCTGTAATTATTAAACCTATAAACCTAATTTATAATCCTTTGACTAGGCCTCACTGTATACATTAAAACACTACGCTACTTCTACTTGAGCAACCAACCAGATTCATCAACATTTTTCCAAGATGACGGTTTAGAATATCCCTTTGTAATATTTTCCAAGAGAGCAACGTTAAACCTCTCAGATGTTTTTGAAGATAATCGTTATAGCTTCACAATTTGTTTGCGAAAATAATGAGTTGAGATCATTCATTTTTGCGGAGTGCATGTGGAACCGGCTTCGTATGTTTTGTCTCGCCATTTCTTTTTCATTTTATTCGTAGATAACGTTCAATTCGTTTTGGTAGATAATTTGAAATCGTTCACTTCTTTTCGTAAATAATTAATGGAAACTGTTCAACAACGAGGTGAAATCGTCCGGCATTTAATTAAGATAAGATAAATCGGTTAGCTCTTTTTGGTAGGTAAGATGGCAATCCGTTACTATTTTCTATTATGCAAGTAAACGTTTGACGATTTATGTGCATAAGGGGGCGTTTTTCATTTCCGTAACGGCGAGATAAAAATCAGATTTCCTGAAAGTTCAGATTTCAAATACTGTAAAACTACCTCACAAGGTTTGAAAAATAAGATGAAATTCTCGGGGATTTTGTTGGGCCTGCATCTCGCTCTTTCATATTTTGTAAAATAAATGACAGAATTCAATGTAGACATTTGGTACAAATTGTTTAGCAATTTTGTTTCCGATTCCGTGGGGAAGTTACCTGCTATCTTATTTCTGAAGATAACAAAGTGAAAGCGTTCATTGTTTTTGTTGAGAACGAGGCCAAATCGGAATATCGTTCCACTTTTTTCATGAATTTAGGCACTTTTTTCATTTTTTAATGCTTTGAAATATTTCTGCGTAATAATGTTATCTCTGTCAGAAAATTTTGTTGGACATTTTGTTACGAAATAACGTGGCATGTTTCTTTAATTTTTGCAAATGTCAAAGTACAAAGCCTTCAGCAATTTCTTAGGTAACGAGTTGATATCAGTTGGCAGTTTTCGCAGACAACGAGATGAATTCATTCAGTATTTCCCGGTAAAGTAGTTCGGCGAGTTCATATAAATATAAAATAGAGCGAGAGAAAATTCTTTTGATTTGTTTTTCGGCGATACCGAAGTGATCTACCTTGCAAATGAAATGAGCATATTTGGCTGAATTCTTATTATAAAATTACGCAACAGTTATTTCCGTTGAAAGCAGAGTTTAAGCGTTTGATTGAATTTCCGCGCATTTATTCTTAAATTGCTTCCATTTATTTTCGTAAAAAGCGAAAGAAAATCATTTCATTTTTTCAATGATTTCGAGCTGATGACAGTTATGTTTTTCGGCAAATTGCCAGGTACTTCATTACGTAATTAGATAGCATCTCGCAGATAAAGACAGTGTCCAGCATTTTTTAAAGTAAAAGCGCTTGTTAGGATTTTTGTGGTTAACGTCGTATTCATTTCCTCTCCGTAGATTTCGAGTGAAAGCGTTCAGCATTTTCGGCAATTACACCTTTCTAGTTTTCGAAGATAGCAAAGTTATACCATTCACCAATCTCGTTGGGGATTTCGTCACGAAATTACTCCGGAGCGATTTTATTTTCGTAGATAGTGACGTGCAGGTTTTTTAAGCTGACGCTTTCAATACAATCATTTTGAAAGCAAACACAGTGTTGTGGAAACAACGTGGTTTCCTTCGATATTGACATGACAGATGATCATATGGGATATTTAAATCACACTCGTTTAAGACCACCAATACACTCGTTTTATTGTAAATGACCAGGTTAAACGCATTCGTCATGTTGATGAAGATGACGAGCGCATTCAAGATGGTCATTTTGAAAAGACGTGATTTGTTTCGATACTGAAAGGTCGGTGCACAATCAGTTGGTTTAATAATTCGTAAATAATCGTACAGGATATTTTAATAACACTTGTTTGAGACATCCCAATGCACTCGTTTTATGGCAAATGAACGAGTTAAACGCATTCGTCATGTTGGTGAAGATGACGAGCGCATTCAACATGGTCATTTTGAAAAAGTAAACTCGGTTGATGATCGTGTCGGATGTTTTCATCAAGTTCGTTTAAGGCATCCTAATACACTTGTTTTATGGCAAATGTCCGAGTTAAACGCATTCGTCATGTTGGTAAAGATGACGAGCGCATTCAACATGGTCATTTTGATTAAAAAGTAAACTCGGTTGATGACTGTTTCTGAC